CAAAAGTATATCAGTGAACTGCTTGAAAGATTTCATTTAGCAGAATGCAACTATGTGCATAATCCTATAGCCCCATGAACTAAACTCTCAAAAGCTGGAGATGGAATTATGGCCAGTGCAACTGAATACAAACAGCTTATTGGAAGCCTGTTGTATGCAACAGCTACAAGACCAGACATTATGTATGCAGTCTGTATGCTAAGCAGGTACATGGATAAACCTACAAGACAACATATGCTGGCGGCAAAAAGAGTGCTAAGGTACTTGAAGGGCACACTGAAGTTTGGAATTCTGTACAGAAGACAAGAAGAAGGAGATTGGTTGCTGGGGTACACTGACAGTGACTATGCGGGTGATCTAGATGACAGAAAATCCACCAGTGGCTACACCTTCTTCCTTGCAGGAGGAGCAATCTCTTGGATCTTGAAGAAACAGCCTGTTGTCACCCTTTCAACAACCTAGGCAGAGTTTGTAGCTGCAGCCTTCTGTGCAGCTCAATGTGTGTGGCTCAAGAGGATCATAACTCAGATGGGTTGGCTGGAGTGTGTAGCAGGAACAACCAAAATCATGTGTGACAATAGCTCAGCTATTAAGCTTTCCAAGAATCCTGTTATGCATGGTCGAAGCAAGCACATAGATGTGCGTTTTCATTTCTTAAGGGAGCTGGCCAGGAATGGAGTGATTGAGTTGGAACATTGCAGAACTGGTGATCAAGTAGCAGACATAATGACAAAGCCTTTGAAGTTAGAAACCTTACAGTTGCTGCGCAGCAGGCTTGGACGGTCGATGGTGATAAATTGAAGACTGAAGATTGATGAACTGAAGCTGATCAGATATGCTTCAGTTCAGGGGAGGCTGTTGAAGATTCTGCTGCTGTTGAAGATTCTGAATCCGAATCCGAACTGCAGAAGGAAAAGCTACGTCTGTCTTTCATTTAAGTTGAACTGTGTCGTTTTGGTTTGTTTCAGTTTGGTCCTTATTGTTTGTGTCTTGTTTGCAATGGTCAGTTAGCCGTTGCAGGGGTTAGTTTCAGATTGGTTGAGGATCTTAGCTACTCCTCAGGGATTGGGATTGATAGCCGTTTGGGAACCCGAGTTTAGGGACTTTCTGTTAAGGGTCTATGTATAAAGATCAGTCTCAATCAATGAATAAAGCTGTCAGTTTGCAGCAATCTTGCTTTCACTGGGTAGGGGTGGGCATTGGTGCGGTTCAAACCGCACCGCATCACATTGGTATAAACCGCATCGCACCGCATGCCAATTGGACCGCACCGCATGTTCGACCGCAATATAATCGGTGTGGTCAAACCAAATTGCATTGATTAGCGGTTTGGTGCGGTTTAGACCGCAACGCATGTTTGACCACAATTCATTATGGATTATAACACTTCCGAAACCAAATTCCTTTTCAGTATTGACGTTCTACTCCTGTTGCGTTCTAAGGAAAGAGAGGATGGATGCAATTGGTGTTCTAATAAGAGGAAGAAGAATAAGATCAGCGAAGAGGGAAAAAAACTTAAGTAATTAATTAAGAGCAAGAAATAAAGAAAGAGAGCATTAACATACAAAAATCCTGTGATGGTGAAGAATAGGACTATGTTACATGAATCCAGAGAGAAAATGGCTCTGTTTTCTGGGTTCCAAATAACAGAGGTTGTAATCTGTCTATGGTTTCTAGAAAATCACAGTTCCGTTGATACTCCATTACCCCTTGCCGGCGATCCATTACATCGGCATAGTTTGTTTTTTTAATTTTAATTCAACTTTCTCTAGCCCAATTTGAATAAGATATAAATTTGCATCCCGACGAATGGGTGAACTTCATAATTGAAGACAACCACTTGTTAAACGATCTGTCCACTCTGACGATTCCCAAACACAACACTATGAAATTAGGTAGTTGAATTCATTTGCGGTTTGCGGTTTCAAACCGCAACCGCGCGGTTTTGGATTAACCCAACCGCAAACCGCGAGCCGCTAAAACTTCAGACCGCACATTAGACCGCATGCCTTACGGTACGGTGTGGTTCGACAGCGAAAGCGGTTTGGTGTGGATTGGAGCATTTTGACCGCACCAATGCCCACCCCTAGGTCTGAGAACAAAGGAAGGCATAGAAGGGTTTGAGAGAACAACAAGAGAAGCTTGCCGACTCTAAAAGTGCACTAGACGTCGATCCGCCAGATTAAGCGGGGACCCTTGAAAATTTAAACTCAAATATTTGTGTTTTATATATTGATAGCATCTTTTATAATGAAATACGAGTACATTGAACGAGGGAACAATCCATTATTCGAAAGGAAAATTAAGTATTCAAAGTACATAGGATTAGTAAATGGGAAACATTATTGCTTGTATTTCTTTTCACTATTTTCTCTTGATTATTGGAATTGGATACTCTTGTTACATCATTTTCTGGTTTACTTGGGGGTCTCTTGCATCTGCGTGCAGGGAAGGGGAAAACATGACGTCAAAACTCCGCTCTTAGGGTAAATGATCTTCTAATAATAGCCAAATTTGATCCTGGTTTTAGAAGTACCTTTGTCCTTCATACTTCAGAAGTTAAAGTAAAGCCAAATACATTTATTAGTTCGGCTTTTGAAAAAGTTGAAAATTATTTTTATAAATTAAAAACTCCGATTTAGAGCTTTTTGAAATTTGTTTTTGAAAATACAAGTTTATCCTACAAATAATTTTTAAATAAGATTTTTTTATTTCATTTATATCATTTAAAAACTAAAACAAACTGTAAAATAATATTTAAATATAAAAATTTACTAGTTCCATTCGACTATTTAAAATATTTTATATTATAAATTATTTCTAGTCATTTTATGTGACCAATAATGTAAAGAAGTACTTTAAATACCTTTTAATAGTTTATTAGTCAAATACTTAACCAATTTAATTTTTTTAATGTTTTTCTTTAAAAGCTATATATGATACATATGCTAGTCAGGTATGTATTATACTGCAGACGCAAACATACGTAGAGACATATACCTGTAGTGTACTTGTATATTGGTTTTGGCGTTGTTGATCAGGAGCTAGCTACAACAAGTTTTGCATCTGAGTACACCACCACTGAAACAAACACAACAATCTCTGCCACCGCACCTATTTGTTCTCTCACGGCAAGGAGACGCTTGCCTTGACTGAAATATTGTTGCGTTGCCTTCCACGCCCATCACTGCAAATTCAATAACCGGCTTGTGTCAATCACATTTTTAGTACTTTGTTCATATTTTTACTAGGAAATTTGTCACAAATAAGGAGAATTGCAAATAAACTAAATTGACTGACGATGATCGGCAGAATGAGAGCGAGGTAACGGGACTGCCGCCATTGATGATCGTGGCACCGCAGCCAACACAAACGGAAAAACAAGGGCAAGAACGACAAACACAGCTTTGTTGGAATTCATCCTTCTCGTTTGCAAGTATAGGAGAGGGCTTTGGATTAGTAGCAGTGTGTTTTGTGATCCTAATTAGGATGCAGGGTGTGATTTATATACATGGAAAAGATAAAGGGTCCCCACAAAAAGTTTCTCACAATACATTTGCACGTAGTGATGTCAACGGCCAGTGGATGTATTTCACCCGCAAACTCTAGTCCTCTTTGCAACTTTATATGGTGATAAAACATTGGGGGGGGGGGCTCCAATTATAAAAGCCAATAACATGAGTTAAGTGAAGTTGACTTTACTCAATTTTTTGCAATGTTAAATCATAGGACTCTGCTCGATTATATTTCTTTCGTTTTAATTCAAAACTAAATTTTTTGTATAGAAAAACAGATGAACCGTGCTATTCAAAATGATATTCATTTTGATATAATTTAGAACAAATTAATCGAGTACCGTAATATCACTGTATACCATGATGGTAATGTTTGGTAGTAAATAAGATTGGACGTGGCAATTTCAATCCAATCCATATATGCACTAAAATTTTCAAACTAATCCGGACCATTTAATTCGAATCCAATTGAATTGGTGAATTCATGAATTGTTGAAAAATTATGTTTGATACCTGTATTTTTATATTTTACAGTTTAGTACTTAAATTGTAAAATTTGAAACCGTATGAAAATTTATGTTTATGTACTTGAATCTTTTAACAATATTTTAGTACCTAAACTTTCAAAATTTTCATAAAGTTCCAAGATATACATGATAGTAGGAATATATATGCTTACCACCATCCACCACCCTTTTATAGGGTTGCATATTTGTTCATGAATGTTTTTCATAAATATATCCAATTCTATAGACCACCCTTTAATAGAGTTGCATATTTGTTCATGAATGTTTTTCATAAATATATCAAATTCTATAAATTACGATAAGTTTCTTCCTTCTGTATAAAAATTTTAAAAAAATTATAGTTAAAAATGAAGATGGCATGGAGAGGTACCAAGTGGTGATGGGTAGTGCCAAAATAATTATCGAAATATATAAAAAAAAATGTATGTATAAAAATACTCATTTTGTCAAAATATTCAAAATTTGAGTTTAAACAAATATATACAAGACGATTAAAATATAGGAAAAGAATGAATTTTCATTTCCCGATCTGGCCTCGTTGAAAACTGAATGGTTAGATCTTATTTTGGACAAATACATAACCCTAACCTAGAACCTTTATTGAGCGATTGAGGATGTGGCAGTCGTAATGATTGCGCAGATTATCAGTAAATTTTCTGGGTACCCAAACCATGATGGCAAATTTTCTCCAGAGCGCTCACAATCTATAGGCATATTGATTAATTCTTTCAACACATGGTACAACATTTTCTCGTGCTACAAGGTAAAACAAAACAAAAGAAACAGAAGTGGGAAAGAAAATACAATGCAACGTGGATTTGGACTCAACATTCCACTTAATTATTGCTAATTTAAGCACTCATTTGCTTACAGGTAACTTAATTATTCCCCAACAGTAAGAAAAATCACTCCAAAGGTTAACTGCGCGCTGAGGCAAATGATGGGCACAGTAACAAGTTTACAATATCCGCTGGATGACCGGAAATAGAATGGGTGCGCCGAGCCGGTTCGCGAGTTCAGTAGGATGGAAGGCGTCCCAGAACAAGTAGGATCGTCGTTGGGAGCAGGGAACCGTATTAGGAAGGCACAGCCCCGTTACTGTGCTCACTTGACAACACGGTGTCGTTTTTACCTTAAATGCTGCGAAAACAGAAAGAAAGAAGAAACACTTGAACGCATTATTGAGAGGCAGAAATTGAATTACTCAACGACTTATGAGCGTATCAATCTATTACCTTGACTAGCAAGAATGCCGGCTCGTATGGTGTCCAGGTAGCCAAATTTGGCGTCAGGATGAGCTGATTTGAGCTGGCTGATGAGCGATTTTAGTCCGATGTTGAAAGGAGCCACTAGTTGGTTCACTGACGTAACACATGGAGCGCCGTTAGTCCCAACGGTTGCTATCAAACTCGGAGTGCAGCCGATGTTCGAAATACCCGCAAGCGCCACCTTCCTTGCTCCCAACTCGTACATCCGCTACACAAGTTGAGGTTTAGAAGAATTAGGGTCGGTTATTTAATTTATACATTTAAAGTTAGGATAGAGTATCATGTCTCAAACTCTTATATATTTATGATTTAGATATCTAAATTTATTATGCTTACCGTAAATTTAGTGTATGCACGCTAAGCTGAGTACATATATAGATCAAAGAAGTGATTCATAGAGTGGACTTACGTTAATCTGAGCAGAGTATCGAGCGATGAGAAGTGCGGCAAATTGAGCCGGGTTGTACTGACTCCTGATGGCAGTAGATTGGGGCAGAATGTAGTTGTTGATATAATCGTTGTTCCCCATATTGCAGATGTACAAGCATTGCCCTAGGTGCTCAAAGGCGGCCTTCTTGCTCCCCAATTTCTTAACTATACGCGAAACAGTCACTTTGTGGTTCCTCAGTTGCTTGTTCAGGTCTACGTTGTCACCCTACAAAATTCATTTTCAAAGGTGCACTGAAAATTATATACAAAGTTCATCAAAAACAAAATTTTTATATACAATCGTTATCTTCTGAAAAAAAATTATGTAGAAAATATCAATAAATAACATAGAACTGTACTCTCATCAATGGACGTGTCCTGCTCATCATTCCAATTCAATTTGCAATTGGGTTATTTTAGGGTAAATCTGTAAGTAAGTAGCTTGCATTTTTTTTACCATTTTATAATAATTGAATATTAATAATCCCACTATGACCAATGTCGGAGGTACGTTAAGTTTAGGGGATGCTATAGCCCCCACAATTATTTGCTTAATTAAGAGTAACTAAAAAAACAAAAGAAGAAGAAATTAACTAAAGATAATTACCCCTTGTTTTCCACTCTCGACTAGAATCCCAGCGGACCCAGATGCGTAGTTGACCCCTACGAGTATCTGTCTGTCGTCAGGGTTGGATGCAAAAGGTGGGATAAAGTCCTTAAATCCCAGCGTTTCACCTGCATACCCAAAAAAATGAATCATTTTAGTTAATATAAATCCACGGTCATGGATGAAAAATGACGCACGTGGTTTAAAGTAACTTAATAATTATAAATCAAGCACACCAATTATATCGGCCGCGGTTCGACCGTTGGAGAACCTGCCGGTGGGTCCGGCCGGGAAATCGATGCCGTAGGGAGAGTAGTTGACTTTCACCGACGTGTTGAGGTTGTTGTTGTTGCCACTGTCGTAAAGAGAATCCCCAAATATGAAGTAGCAAGGCACCCGCGGCGCCTTAAACCCGTCGGCAGATGAAGCTGCCAGTGCAACAACTACGACGAACAGAGAAAGTGGTGAAGACCATGACCGGAGAAAACTCCGACGACTTCCCATTTCCGGAAAATTAGGATTAGATATTGGAGGGAAGAGAAGGATAGAGAAGAAAGAGCTTGTTGTTGGTGGCAGAAAAGGATGGAATGGCGATGGTTTATATATATATAGGGCATGGATTTCGTTATAGGAAGTATAGCACGTCTCGTGGTCGATAATGAAGACTGCACAATTGATTGACTAATCGTTTAGGTTTTGTATGCATTACTAATTTTAGTTAGGAATAATTAGTTAGGAGTAGTTTCAAATACATCGATAAGCAGCTGGTGTGTCGACGTCGATCGTTCAGGCAAAGAAAATCATTTGTTTGTTCAATATTTTAGGGAAAAGATTGATGGTCAAGCAAGGTGGTGGATGAAGGTGGAGGAAAACAGAATGATTGGGCGATCCTTTGACCTTCAATTTGATCATATGAACTTCTTTTTTTGGTATTTTCTTTCCGGTTTTTTTATTAGGTGGTGGATGGACGACCAACATTTTAAGGTACTCTGGTTAATTGGCTTGATTTTTACTAAAGTTTCTGAAAAACGACATGAAAAGTAGAGGATAAATGTATCCTAATTAATCGATGTAGTTTGTGTTTATTTAGTGTCGACACAAAAATATACTTTTTTCTTTCTATTAATTTTTTTATACTTTTTCTTGTAAATTGTAATGATATAAAATTTGGATGCTCAATAGCCAGGTGCTCGGTATATGATAGGGTGTATTATGCACAATTATACAACTAGATTTTAACTTTAAATAGGAGTGGGGTTAGAAAATTTAAGATATAAAGGGTGGAAATTAATGGATTTTATTTTTCTTAATTTGTTTAATCGGCTTTATCTTATTCGTTGTAATTTGAATTTGAATTTTTTTTGTGCACAGATAAAACGAGTTCGTTATGACCTACAAAATGAAAATGAGATCTATTTTAAATATATTTCGAGAAAAAATTCACACCATGCGTTACCACCTTGGTACAACCTTCATTTTTAACTCGAATTTTGAAAATTTTACACTGAAATCTTCGTGATCTATTGGATATCCGCAAATTGCTAGGAAAAAAATACATGAATAAAATGTACCACCCTAGTATAGAGGTGGTACCTTGTGGTAAACAATGATGAATGAGGTAAATGACATTTCGTATATTTTCACTAACATGTATTCAACCATCCTACACTATGGTATGTTCATACCATCATGGTACATCTCCATACCACGTGTATGATCTTATGTAATACCAAAGCAGTATTATTATGATATAGACTAGTACTAAATGTCACAATTTTTTTGTTCCATAAATATATCAAGGTGGATATTAATTTGAAGAACACAATTTATCTGATTTATATGTGAAAAAGAAAATTAAAGTATAACTTAAAAAAAATTATAGTCCGGTAAAATTTATAGAAAAATGTTAGAGACTTTTCATAAATTAAATGACGATGAAGCAAATTATGCATTGTTATTGATGAGAAGATTACTGATGAGAACTGGTACCCCTATGGGCAACCTAATCTCAGGGTAGATTGCATACCATTTTCCTCCGAATTGATTTTTTTTTTTGACAAAAGATAATTAATTATAAAACGAAGATCAAGCAAAAGTTACATCCTGGACACCAGCCAGGCCTGGAATTCAAAGAAACGATACGTAGTCGGGTACAAACTGAGGGCTTTGCGAGCCACCAAATGGGCTACCCTATTGTTACTCCGTCCTACAAATCGAACACTAATCCCAGTATGAAAAGAGAATGTCCTGATAAGCTCCTCCAACACAGGCCCCACCCTGCTATGTAGGTAGGTCGAGCGCGAGACCTTTTTCCTCTTTCTCACCGATCAGATGGAGATCCTGCAAAACCCTAATCGACTAATTGACAGAGCAAGCAAGAAGCTGTGTTCTTTCAATTCCCTTTTTCCTTGGAATAGTTTAATTACAGGATAAATGTTAATAGATAATAAAAGTAATCAAACTCAGAATATCAAAACTATTAGATATAACTATGGGGTTTGGCCCAACTGCTTACTGCCGACTGAGTTGGAGCTTGGCCCACAATGCTCCAATTCGGCCTGCACGATTCTTCTTCTTCCTTGATCCGCCTAGGTCACTGACTCTGCTTCAAGGTTCCCCTGTTCCTGATCAACACAAATGAAAACAGAGCACACAACCTAAAACCAAACAGAAGATGCACACTGGACAAGGATTTTTACGTGGTATCCGATATTGGGAGAAGAAGGATCCCAATATCGACTAATCCACGGTAGGGACTTCTCCTCTATCCCTACGTAACTACTAGTACTTCTTTTCTTAGTTTCTCAGTACACGAATGGAGTCAATTATGATCAGCTCCCTGCTTATCACTCTGACTCGTCTATGACTGAATAATCACTCTGATTATTTTCTTGCTATTCTCTCCGATTAGCCTAACCAGTTTTTCTATCAAAAGACTCTTGCTAACTCTCACAACACTCTGCTTTTGATTTTTGCCTCAAAAACTTGTTTTGCCTTTCTCTCGTCTCTGGCCTTTTATTGCTTCTTTTCTCCAAGGTAGCCGTTGTAGCCAATTGATTTGATCTCCAGAGAATCTGCTCCAGCTTTCCTTCTTTGAACCCTTCTATTTTGGCCTTGATTGATTTGTTGATTCTTTCCCCATTGACGAGCTTCACGTAACATGCTCCCCCTAAGCTAGTCAATAGCTCTTTCCTGCCACACACGCCTTTTCTGCACACACTCAACAAACACCTGGTGCAGTCTGTTCTATGCAGTGTACAACTATTATTTGCTACGAAAGGTATTTTATTTTGATTAATTGAAAACGTTCAATTGAACTACATCCACTTGTTTCAAATCAACAGCCAAACACTCAGAAGGTAAACTGGACACAAGTTACTTGACTGACACGACCCAAACACTGACTGAATCCAAAAGACTTCCCTTGCCCGAACACTAGACGCTCCCCCTGAGTAACATCATCAGGGACCTAGAAAGGATAACTAGGAGGTGAGTCATAGTCTGAGATCTCATTATCAGATTCAGAGCTAGAATCGGATGAGATTGGATCAAAATCATTTGGAGCAGGTCTTGAATCATCAACCTCCAGCAGCTCGAGACGTTCTTTGCATACAAGAAGACCAGTCGTCTTTCCACTCCCTGTTTCCCTTCGTCGTTTAACTTCACCATTTATGGCTGAGACAGCTTCTTGAGTTAGGGCTGGAATCAGACTATCAGAAATAGTCTCAGCACGAGTGAATACTGGGCAGGCAGTATCTCCCCCTGAGCCATAGACTAGCTTACGATGCCCGACATCAGCATCAAGACGCACCAGAACTTGATTTGGGCGAAGATCATCATGGACTCGGCAAACTGCCACCTTGTCCCTAAGATCAATGCCGAGTCGATGTAAGTATCGAGTGATGAGGGGTCCAAACGGCAGATCGCCACTGTAACCTCCTCCTCCGAAGGAAAGCATATGAGCAAACATTAAGGAGGCAAAGCTGATAGGCTGGTGTGCATGAGCATTCCCCAATATCCAGAGGTCCGAGGAATGAAGAAGACCAGCACTTGAGAGGTCGCGGGGAAGAAATCATCGAGTTATAAATAAGTGCAGCACCTTTAGGTCATCGGGAAGTCGACCAGCTGATAGCCTAGTTGGAAAGGCCTTGCCAATATCGCAGGTTAGGCGATCAAGAGCAATGCAGAAGTCGAACCCATGATCAGCAAAATCACTTTCGTAGCTTGATTGAATGCCAGAGTGAGGAAGGGATAAAATTGAGGCAAGCAGATCTGGTGTAACGGTGATTTCATGGTCATAAACCATGGTGGTGAAGAAGCGAGGTTCAGCCCCACGATCACGACGAATGTTGACATAGAAGAGTCTGACTGCCTCAGGACAAAGAAGGAATCGTTGATCCTCAGTCAATGATTCCCATCCTAGTCCAGCAACGAGGGAAGATATATCCAGATCATATTTGGAGAAAGCTGAGGGAGAAATAGTGAAAGAGGGATAGATGGGGCGATCGCGAAAGCAGTGAAGATATCTGGAATATACTATCGCATTACGAAAGCCTTGATTCTGGAACACAACGACAGGACGAAGCTGAGCGTTGTTGAAAGCCATGATAGTGGAAAGTTGTATGAATGGACAATGAATTTTTTATGATGGAGTGTAGGACAGCGATACCCTAGATATATAGAGTGGGAGTGAGAGAGAATGGGTAAGAGAATCATTCAGATGATTGCTGATTTTTCGAGACAAAGAGAGAAAAGGAAGGTGCTCTAATGAAGAAAGAAGGAAACTGAGAGGACACAGAATCCTAGCGGATTTCCAATATTTCTTCTAGAGTAAACATACCAAGTTCTCGACGAATAGGTAAGAATTTATCACTAGACAGGGGTTTGGTAAAGATGTCAGCCCATTGATAGTCTGTTACCACAAATTCTAAGTGGATTTTACCCTCTTGATCTAGTTCTCGTATGAAATCGTAACGGACCTCTATATCTTTAGTGCGAGAGTGTTGTATTGGGTTTTTGGTCATGTTAATAGCACTTGTGTTGTCACACAAGATGGGAAGAGATCCCAGTTGAAGACCATAGTCTTCAAACTGGTATTTCATCCATAGGGCTTGAGTACAGCACAAGCCAGCAGCTATATACTCAGCTTCAGCTATGGATAAAGCTACTGAGCTTTGCTTTTTACTGAACCAAGACACAATAGAGGAACCTAGGAAATGACAGGCACCAGAGGTGCTTTTTCTGTCCACAACACACCCTGCATAATCAGAGTCAGTATAGCTGACACGCTAAAACACAACACCTAACAATGGCCAAGTGTAACCAATGAAAGGGACTGCAGTATAGTTGCACAGGTAATAAATATCGAATCCACGGGTCTCTAGAGTTACTATTACTCAGCTTCAGTTCATTATCTAGCAAACTAGATTAAGGTTTGATTGATAAACTACTCTACTGACTATTCTACCAATTACAAGTTGGGAACTCACTTAGGTATGATTCCCCCTAGCTCCTCAATTAGGTCCAAGTTGCAATTACCTTTGGTTGATCTA